GTATTTACTTTTTTGCATGATAAGCAGCAGCAGGACGCTCAGGTGTGAGCGGGCACCATTAAATACAATAGGAATGATCATGTTGAACGTTGTCACACTTCAGGAAACATGTGACAAATCGCTCAGTTGTGAATGGGGGCTTAGAGAAGCAACTTGCATGCAGCGCAGGGGGAAACGTGGAACATATGGATGAGTAATAGAGAGTGCAGCTTATATAAAGGTTCTTTAACCATATAACTCTGCTGTTCTCTGTCTCTCAGGTACGACTGGATGTCTTCCTAAATCCAACAGTTTCCTGTCTAAGAAGCCAGCATTACAACCCAGACCTGCACCAGGGACCAAACCAGCCCCCACCCCAAGCTCTGCAGCGCACGCCATCATCCTGCACCCAGTGACCAGTCCCCCTCCAGCACCACATGCTCCTACTCTCACAGGTATGCTTTGCCCCTTTTTGGATGTCAACATGTTTTATTATTTATTTAGTACAGGTATGCATATAGTGCTGACAACCTTGCACATTCACAACAGTCCCTTCCCTCTAGAAGCTTACGATCTAAGGGCCCTATCTCACATGCATACATACGGGGCTGATTTTGACAGGAGCCAATTAACCTTCCAGCGGGAGGAAAACGGAGTACCCGTTCATCCTCATTTATTAAACCAAAACTCTAGACACACAGCGGTGACACACAAGTCAACATGTGTTTTACCTGCCAATCATTTTTATAGCTACATGGTGATTTGCATACATTTTCCACACCGCATAGCAGTTTATCCCTCTCATTCAGCAATGCAGCTTCCTGTGTCACCGCTCTGTCTTCAGTCTTCTCATTGGACTAAGAGTCTGCATCATTATCCCTGTTTTAAGGAACAGAGAGCTGTCCCAGGAAGCAGCGGTGTGATCTAAGTAGGAACGTGTGTGTATTATAAGACTCTGTGCTAATCAATGAGAGTCGCTTCTTTCTTCCTGGATGCTGTCCTGGAAGAAAGAAGGCTCAGAAAAGCTTCTTATTGGTCAGAATTGTCACATGGCTATGCTGGCAGCTCACCATTGCAAGCATTGTGCTGTTACATAGCCTCTATGCTGTGTAGTGAAGTTTTAGTGTAGTGAAGTCAGGACCCTTGTATCGGTGGCATGAGCAGTGGGACAGGGG